TACAACAACTCACAACTAACAATACCACGACTACAACAATTCACAACTAACCCACAATTTAGAGAGAATTATTGATATTAAAATTATTAAATCTATTGTGAATTATTTTCATAATCAGTAGAAAGCTCTAAACACGTATGTAATATAGCTCCTGGGAAAAGCAATCATGTTTGATTCCGGGAAGAGGATAAATCCTGACCTTAGAGTAGTGAAAATGATCTTGGATACATTTGGTAAGTTTAAACTCTATCTACTACACGAGGGTCATTAAGACTGGTTGATTGGTTAATGGGGTTTAAAGTCTATCTACTACACGAGGGTCATTAAGACTGGTTGGTTGGTTAATGGGGTTTAAAGTCTATCTACTACACGAGGGTCATTAAGACTGGTTGGTTGGTTAATGGGGTTTAAAGTCTATCTACTACACGAGGGTCATTAAGACTGGTTCGTTGGTTAATGGGGTTTAAAGTCTATCTACTACACGAGGGACATTAAGGCTGATTGGTTGGTTAATGGGGTTTAAAGTCTATCTACTACACGAGGGTCATTAAGGCTGGTTGGTTGGTTAATGGGGGTTAAAGTCTACCTACTACACGAGGGTCATTAAGACTGGTTGGTTGGTTAATGGGGTTTAAAGTCTATCTACTACACGAGGGTCATTAAGACTGGTTGGTTGGTTAATGGGGTTTAAAGTCTATCTACTACACGAGGGTCATTAAGACTGGTTGGTTGGTTAATGGGGTTTAAAGTCTATCTACTACACGAGGGTCATTAAGACTGGTTCGTTGGTTAATGGGGTTTAAAGTCTATCTACTACACGAGGGACATTAAGGCTGATTGGTTGGTTAATGGGGTTTAAAGTCTATCTACTACACGAGGGTCATTAAGGCTGGTTGGTTGGTTAATGGGGGTTAAAGTCTACCTACTACACGAGGGTCATTAAGACTGGTTGGTTGGTTAATGGGGTTTAAAGTCTACTACACGAGGGTCGTTAAGACTGGTTGGTTGGTTAATGGGGTTTAAAGTCTATCTACTACACGAGGGTCATTAAGGCTGGTTGGTTGGTTAATGGGGTTTAAAGTCTATCTACTACACGAGGGTCATTAAGACTGGTTGGTTGGTTAATGGAGTTTAAAGTCTATCTACTACACGAGGGTCATTAAGTCTGGTTGGTTGGTTAATGGGGTTTAAAGTCTACTACACGAGGGTCGTTAAGACTGGTTGGTTGGTTAATGGGGTTTAAAGTCTATCTACTACACGAGGGTCATTAAGACTGGTTGGTTAATGGGGTTTAAAGTCTACCTACTACACGAGGGACATTGAGGCTGGTTGGTTGGTTAATGGGGTTTAAAGTCTATCTACTACACGAGGGTCATTAAGACTGGTTGGTTGGTTAATGGGGTTTAAAGTCTACCTACTACACGAGGGACATTAAGACTGGTTGGATGGTTAATGGGGTTTAAAGTCTATCTACTACACGAGGGTCATTAAGACTGGTTGGTTGGTTAATGGGGTTTAAAGTGTATCTACTACACGAGGGTCATTAAGACTGGTTGGTTGGTTAATGGGGTTTAAAGTCTACCTACTACACGAGGGACATTAAGACTGGTTGGTTGGTTAATGGGGTTTAAAGTCTATCTACTACACGAGGGACATTAAGACTGGTTAGTTGGTTAATGGGGTTTAAAGTCTACTACACGAGGGTCATTAAGACTGGTTGGATGGTTAATGGGGTTTAAAGTCTGTCTACTACACGAGGGTCATTAAGACTGGTTGGTTGGTTAATGGGGTTTAAAGTCTACCTACTACACGAGGGACATTAAGACTGGTTGGTTGGTTAATGGGGTTTAAAGTCTATCTACTACACGAGGGACATTAAGACTGGTTAGTTGGTTAATGGGGTTTAAAGTCTACTACACGAGGGTCATTAAGACTGGTTGGATGGTTAATGGGGTTTAAAGTCTGTCTACTACACGAGGGTCATTAAGACTGGTTGGTTGGTTAATGGGGTTTAAAGTCTATCTACTACACGAGGGTCATTAAGCTGCAGGTCACCTGTACACCACCAGTCAAGAATACTTTAATACCTAAAATACTGATTAATGTAAACTACCAGTGTATATACACTGAGATATACACCTCTCAGTGTATATACACTGAGATATACACCTCTCAGTGTGTATACACTAGATATACACCTCTCAGTGTATATACACTGAGATATACACCTCTCAGTGTATATACACTGAGATATACACCTCTCAGTGTATATACACTGAGATATACACCTCTCAGTGTATATACACTGAGATATACACCTGCCAGTGAATATACACTGAGATATACACCTCTCAGTGATATACACTGAGATATTTCACCTCTCAGTGTATATACACTGAGATATACACCTGCCAGGGAATAACACTGAGATATACACCTCTCAGTGATATACACTGAGATATACACCTCTCAGTGTATATACACTGAGATATACACCTGCCAGTGAATATACACTGAGATATACACCTCTCAGTGTATAAATATAAATGGAGTACAGTACTGTGTAGTACTTGACAGGGGAGTACACAAGTGGAGTGTACAAGTGGAGTGTACAAGTGGAGTGTACAAGCGGAGTGTACAAGTGGAGTGTACAAGTGGAGTGTACAAGTGGAGTGTACAAGTGGAGTGTACAAGTGGAGTGTACAAGTGGAGTGTACAAGTGGAGTGTACAAGCGGAGTGTACAAGTGGAGTGTACAAGTGAGTGTAACAAGGGAGTGTACAAGTGGATGTACAAGTGGATGTACAACGAGTGTACAAGTGGAGTGTACAAGTGAAGTGTACAAGTGGAGTGAACAAGTGGAGTACAAAGTGAGTGTACAAGTGGAGTGTACAAGTGGAGTGTACAAGCGGGGTGACAAGGTGCACAAGTAGAGTACACAAGTAGAGTACACAAGTGAAGTGCACAAGTAGAGTACAAGAGTACACAAGTAGAGTACAAGAGTACACAAGTAGAGTACACAAGTAGAGTACACAAGTGAAATGCACAAGCAGAGTACAAGAGTGCACAAGTAGAGTACACAAGTAGAGTACACAAGTAGAGTACACAAGTAGGTACACAAGTGATCACAAGTAGAAATACAAGAGTACACAAGTAGAGTACAAGAGTACACAAGTAGAGTACAAGAGTACAGAGTACAAGTAGAGTACACAAGTAGAGTACACAAGTGAAGTGCACAAGTAGAGTACAAGAGTACACAAGTAGAGTACAAGAGTACACAAGTAGAGTACACAAGTAGATACACAAGTAAGTACAAGTAGAGTACAAGAGTACACAAGTTAAAGTACACAAGTGAAGTGCACAAGTAAAAGTACAAGAGTACACAAGTAAGTACACAAGTAGAGTACAGAGTAAGAAAAATTACACAAGTAGAGTACACAAGTAAGTACACAAGTAGAGTACAAGAGTAAATCAGTAGTAGTACACAGTGAGTACACAAGTAGAGTACACAAGTAGAGTACACAAGTAGAGTACACAAGTGAAATGACAAGAAACAAGAGTACACAAGTAGAGTACACAAGTGAATGCACAAGTAGAGTACACAAAATAGAGTACACAAGTTGAGTACACAAGTGAAGTGCACAATAGGTCAAGAGTACACAAGTAGAGTACACAAGTAGAGTACAAAAAAGTGAAGTACACAAGTTAGAGTAACAAGTACCAAGTAGAGTACACAAGTAGAGTACACAAGTAGAGTACACAAGTGAAATGCACAAGTAGAGTACAAGAGTACACAAGTAGAGTACACAAGTAGAGTACACAAGTAGAGTACACAAGTAGAGTACACAAGTGAAATGCACAAGTAGAGTACACAAGTAGAGTACACAAGTAGAGTACACAAGTAGAGTACACAAGTGAAATGCACAAGTAGAGTACACAAGTAGAGTACACAAGTAGAGTACACGAGTAGAGTACACAAGTGAAGTGCACAAGTAGAGTACACAAATAGAGTACACAAATAGAGTACACGAGTAGAGTACACAAGTAGAGTACACAAGTGAGTACACAAGTAGAGTACACAAGTAGAGTACACAAGTGAATGCACAAGTAGAGTACAAGAGTACACAAGTAGAGTACACAGTGAAGTACACAAGTAGAGTACACAAGTAGAGTACACAAGTGAAGTGCACAAGTAGAGTACAAGAGTACACAAGTAAAGTACAAGAGTACACAAGTAGAGTACACAAGTAGAGTACACAAGTGAAGTGCACAAGTAGAGTACACAAGTAGAGTACACAAGTGAAGTGCACAAGTAGAGTACACAAGTAGAGTACACGAGTAGAGTACACAAGTGAAGTGCACAAGTAGAGTACACAAATAGAGTACACAAATAGAGTACACGAGTAGAGTACACGAGTAGAGTACACAAGTGAAGTACACAAGTAGAGTACACAAGTAGAGTACACAAGTGAAGTGCACAAGTAGAGTACACAAGTAGAGTACACGAGTAGAGTACACGAGTAGAGTACACGAGTAGAGTACACAAGTGAAGTGCACAAGTAGAGTACACAAGTGAAGTGCACAAGTAGAGTACACAAGTAGAGTAGACAAGAAGAGTAGACAAGTACAAGAGTACACAAGTAGAGTACACAAGTAGAGTAAACAAGTAGATACACAAGTGTCACAAGTAGATACACAAGTAGAGTACACAAGTAGAGTACACAAGTAGAGTACACAAGTAGAGTACACAAGTGAAGTGCACAAGTAGAGTACACAAGTAGAGTACACAAGTGAAGTACACAAGTAGAGTACACAAGTAGAGTACACAAGTGAAGCGCACAAGTAGAGTACATAAGTATAGTAGACAAGTAGAGTAGACAAGTAGAGTACACGAGTAGAGTACACAAGTGAAGTGCACAAGTAGAGTACAGAAGTAGAGTACACAAGTAGAGTACAGAAGTAGAGTACACAAGTAGAGTACACAAGTAGAGTACAACTTACGTGTGTGAGCATCATGATCGGACATGTCTGGAGGTGTGGGTGGCGCAGGGGCAGCTGCCGTGGGTGAGGAACAGCCCTTAGTGCCCACATCACGTACCATGGGCACTTTCTTGACCAGGTAGCAGCGGGGCATGTCACTGCCCTGCTGAGGAGTCAGCAGGCACGCTACTGCTTGGGTAGACGACATTCAACCCCTTAAAAGTAGGGCCAGAACGCCCCTTAACTGAATTTCTTGATTTCGATAGGGAAAGGGAGCATTTAACCCCTTAAATCAGATCCTGTAACCCCTTCAACCCCTTCAGATTCCCGGAGATTGCAAGGGTAAGGGGCAAAAGGGGGAAATTAGGGGTTAAGGGGAAGAAATAAGTGTCACAGTTCACCGTACACACGCGTACACACAGTCACAGTAATTTCCAGCCGTACACAGGAGCCGGTGTACATATCTAGGTACATAGGTACACATGGCACAGGAGCACATAAGCCGCGTTGCATAGGAGCAGTATTGTGGATTAGGTGCTCCAGGGAGCCGCGTCAGGAGCACTGGAACCTACGGCGGAATTCCTTGGGCATTTTCTTTACTCAGGTGAAGGCACTAGGTGAAGGTAACCAACGTGCTCCTGCGTCACTTCACTGCCACCTGTTTCACTCTGAAGCAACAATTGTCAGCCACCAGGACTGCTGACACCCCAGCATGGACATGGGCTGATGTTTCGCCGCCTCTGGACGACGTTTCCAGCGATGGTGGTGTTCCTTGCCTTCCAGCCACGGCCAGACGTCCCTCTCGGCGTCCTCTAAACTGGCCGAAACCACGATCCAGGGCACTGTTTCGCCCGCGGAAGTGGCACTATCCTCCCCGGTCTTGCTCCCTCCGACATTACCACCACCTCCCTCTTCCCCTGCACGCGCAGGCGCCATTCCCATTCCCATTCTACCATGATTCACCAGACACCCCCCCATTATACCTTCTCACCATCCACTGCCACATTTAACCACCAGCTGAGGCATCTACAACTCTCCCTATTAACCAGCTGCTGCTCCAGCTGGAAGGAAATTAGAGAGCCCTTCCTTGCCTACGAGATATTTCCAATACTTTCTAAAGAAAGTTTAGAGAAAGGACCAAATTCATTTTCTTTGTATTTTGTTCCAGATCGCAAGTATAACGTAGACTCGTTTTTCCATGTTCCAGAGCTCTTCTGATACTGGAAGCCTGAAGTTATAATTACTTGTTATTCTGCTCTCTAGCTAGTATTTATGGGTAATTTGGTGTGTTATGTTGTGCGAGGAAGTTGACGGAAGTTTGTTTAGGTGAATAATGCGGTGGTGAAGTAGGGGAGAGGCGAGACAGAGATGTATATATGAGGATCAATATTTGGGAACCGCGTCACCTGTTTCTCAGGGCTAGCGTGTGAGCCTACAACACGACAGGCAGTGTAGCCACAATGGAGTGCTACCCTACCCTCTCACCCCCATCACTTATTTAATAAAAAAAAATACCAAAAAAAAATCAGATCATACGAAATAATTCATACGAGACGGCAAAATAGTTTTTCACGCTGGAGGAACTACCCAGGTCCAAATAATGGAGTTAAAGGTGTGTGTGGTAGAGGTTGATGGCTCCCAGGGTGTGGCAACACTGACTCCGGACCCAGCAAAACACAACATTGCCAAAAACTGCCTTAAAAACTTCACTTTTTTTTAGACCCATCAAAACTTTTAATCCCCATCCCATTATAGACATTTTACCCCATATAATATCCCCCATAACTACGCTAAATCACTACATTATGCAGCCTCTCTGAACTAAGATTATGTATGTATATAAATATATATATATATATATATATATATATATATATATATATATATATATATATATATATATATATATTATATATATATATATATGTATATATATATATATATATATGAGGTTTAAAGTCTGTCTACTACACGAGGGTCATTAAGACTGGTTGGTTGGTTAATGGGGTTTAAAGTCTATCTACTACACGAGGGTCATTAAGACTGGTTGGTAGAGTAATGGGGTTTAAAGTCTATCTACTACACGAGGGTCATTAAGACTGATTGGTTGGTTAATGGGGTTTAAGGTCTATCTACTACACGAGGGTCGTTAAGACTGGTTGGTTGGTTAATGGGATTTAAAGTCTATCTACTACACGAGCGCCGTTAAGACTGGTTGGTTGGTTAATGGGGTTTAAAGTTTATCTACTACACGAGGGTCATTAATACTGGTTGGTTGGTTAATGGGGTTTAAAGTCTGTCTACTACACGAAGGTCATTAATACTGGTTGGTTGGTTAATGGGGTTTAAAGTCTGTCTACTACACGAGGGTCATTAATACTGGTTGGTTGGTTAATGGGGTTTAAAGTTTGTCTACTACGAGGCAAGACGTGGTGTTATGGGGTTTAAAGTCTACTACACGAGGGTCATAAGACTGGTTGGTTGGTTGATTGGGTTTAAAGTCTACACGAGGGTCGTTAAGTCTGGTTGGTTGGTTATTGGGGGTTAAAGTCTACTACACGAGGGTTATTAAGACTGGTTGGTTAATGGGGTTTAAAGTCTATCTACTACACGAGCGCCGTTAAGACTGGTTGGTTGGTTAATGGGGGTTTAAAGTGTATCTACTACACGAGGGTCATTAAGACTGGTTGGTTGGTTAATGGGGTTTAAAGTCTACCTACTACGCGAGGGTCATTAAGGCTGGTTGGTTGGTTAATGGGGGTTTAAAGTGTATCTACTACACGAGGGTCATTAAGACTGGTTGGTTGGTTAATGGGGTTTAAAGTCTATCTACTACACGAGGGTCATTAAGACTGGTTGGTTGGTTAATGGGGTTTAAAGTCTATCTACTACACGAGGGTCATTAAGGCTGCAGGTCACCTGTACACCACCAGTCAAGAATAATTTAATACCTAAAATACTGATTAATGTAAACTACCAGTGTATATACACTGAGATATACACCCCTGTGTATATACACTGATATATACACCTGCCAGTGTATAAACACTGAGATATACACCTGCCAGTGTATATACACTGAGATATACACCTCTCAGTGTATATACACTGAGATATACACTCTTAGTGCATATACACTGAGATATACACCTCACGGTATATATACAATTTGTGACATATGCCCTATTTAGACAAGTATATAAGGCTCTTGATCCGTGGAACAAGAGCCCTCCTCTTCCTCGGATCCACCCAGCTTTCCCATCACTCTCAAATAATTCTCCAGAATTGAATTTCAAACTAACAGAGCTATGTTTGAGCTGGGTTAGAGCTCCCTATATTGAAGTTCCGTGTATTAGAGCTCCCTGTATTAGAGCTCCCTGTATTAGAGCTCCCTGTGTTAGAGCTCCCTAGATGGGAATTTCCCTAATTCCTTCTATCTTGCACCAACTGAGCCCACGGAAGTCACCGAGATCATAAAGTCACTTAAAAATAACTCGGGGAATCTGTCTCATGTCCCACCATTACTGTACAAGCGAGCGGCCCATGTCCTTTCGCATGCTATTTCATTACTCTTTAACAAGTCACTAGAGACTAGCACCTTCCCGAAACTACTCAAGATGGCAAGGGTTACACCAATACATAAAGGTGGTGACCCTGCAGACTTAAACAACAATAGGCCAATATCTAACGTACCATTGCAATCCAAAATCTTTGAGAAACTCGTGCACAGGAGACTGTATTCATTTATAACGGCTCAAAACATACTCAACCCCTGCCAATTTGGATTCAGGAAAAATAAAAGCACTAATGATGCAATCATAAAAATGCTAGATCTGCTTTACACAGCATTGGAAAATAAGGAATATCCACTAGGAATTTTTATTGACCTAAGAAAAGCTTTTGACACAGACCACGACATCCTACTCCACAAACTTGACCATTATGGTATAAGAGGCCATGCGCTTGCTTATTTCAAATCTTTCATTACTAATAGGTATCAGTATGTCACCATTAAAGACACAGCATCAGCAACACGGCCACTTGATACTGGAGTTCCGCAGGGAAGTGTCCTTGGTCCCCTGCTCTTCTTCATATACATCAATGACCTTCCAAACGTATCCCAACACCTGAAACCCATTCTCTTTGCTGACGACACGACTTATGTCATCTCTCACCCTAATCTTACCACCCTCAACACCACTGTGAATGAGGAGCTGATCAAAATATCGACTTGGATGACAGCCAATAAACTTACGCTTAACACTGACAAAACCTACTATATTATGTTTGGTAGCAGAGCAGGAGATGCACAAATTAACATTAAGATTGACAACACTCTAATTACCAGAAATAATGGGGGAAAATTTCTAGGCTTATACCTTGACAACAACCTGAATTTCATTACCCATATCCAGCATGTAACCAAAAAAGTATCCAAAACGGTTGGGATCCTCTCCAAGATACGATACTACGTGCCGCAAAATGCCCTTCTCACACTATACCACTCACTTATTTATCCATACCTCACCTATGCTATTTGTGCTTGGGGATCAACTGCAGCAACACACCTAAAGCCAATAATAACCAAACAAAAAGCTGCAGTAAGAATAATCACTAAATCCCATCCCTGGCAACACCCCCCCCACTCTTCATAGACCTAAGGTAAACTCCAGACCTAAACTTACTCCCTGTTCAGTACATCCACACTTACTACTGTGCAATCTACATCTACAGGACCTTAAATTCCAATATTAACCTGCCTAAAAACCTTTTTGAAGTTGCGACAGAACCCCACGGGCATACCACAAGACACAAACATCTCTACGACATTCCCTGTGTCCGACTAAACCTTTACAAAAATTCAATGTATGTCAAAGGCCCTAAAATCTGGAATACCCTACCTGAGAACTCTAGAACTGCGAACTTATCCCCTTTAAAAACTACCATTAGAAAAATCTTATCTCCTTGTACCCCCCGTCAATAACTACAAAAATACCCCCGGGTGGTTACACTTACACCCTCACTCATTTGACCTAAACAAAATAAAAATTCAACTTAAAATATGAATCCTGTGTACCCAATACTGAAACTATGTCTGTGCCCGAACAAAAGCTTCACATTGCAAAACTCACAAACAGTATTTTGTCACTTAGCCCTAATACCAACTTACCTCATAATTTGTAATATTTTTTTAAATTTAAAAATAAAATAAGTCCCCGAAATGCCCACCAGCTACGTTTATGGTACACTTGTAATGCCTAGCCCTGCTAAGTGTTTTTAGTGGTACACTCTGAAAAACCTAGCCATGCTAATGTTTGTGGGGACATCTGTAATGCCTAGCCCTGCTAAGCGTTTAGTGGTCACTCTGTAAACCCCGCCATGCTAAATTTAGTGGTACATCTGTAAACCTAGCCCTGCTAAGCGTTTTTAGTGGTAACTCGTAATGCCCAGCCATGTAAGCGTTTAGTGGTACACTCTGTATGCCTACCAAGCAAGGTTTTTAGTGGTAAATCTGTAATGCCAGCCCTGCTAAACGTTTTTGTGGTCACTCGTAATGCCTACCAGCTAACGTTCTATGGTACATTGAAAAGCCTAGCCATGCTAAGCTTCTGTGGTACACTCTGTAAAGCCAGCCTCTAAGGTTCTATGGTACATCTGAATGCCTAGCCGCTAAGTTTCTGTGGTACATCTGTAATACCTAGCCATGCTAATGTTCTAGTGGTACACTCTGTAATGCTAGCCATTTTCTAAGGTTTAGTGGTACACTGTAATGCCTAGCCATGCTAAGGTTCTAGTGGTTCACTCGAATGCTAGCCATGTAAATGTTTTTAGTGACACCTGAATCCCACCATGCTAAGCGTTCTATGGTACCTGTAATTTTCCTAGCCATGCTAA